AGTGATAAATTCTAAGATGACATTTTCCCATGGATTATGAAGCTGAGAGCCAGTTGTTTTGAACAAATCCCTAGAGAAAGTGTTGGTCTTTAAAAAAAGCTAAAGAGAGTTCTTACTTCACAGGCAACCAAGAGATCCCGAAAAGATCGATGACAATGAAGAGATACCAACAGATGTTCCACATTGAAGTCATCCCACTTGCTTTCTAAGCTCCACGATAAAATCTGCCGAGGAAAGAAGCCCCCCCCGTAGGTCATATTTTATCAGGAGGAGGTTCGTGGAATGAAAAAATTGTCTGCACGTTTCAAATTTTGAGAAGGTGACTCAGACTGTCGGAGCGGAAAAGAAGACCCCCCAGGTCCACGTCTCACAATCTGGTAATTACAAGGTAGGAAATCTCTTTATGGTACCGAGTTCTCGGTTAAAAAATATAAAAAAACTGGATTATTGTATTATCTGAATGCAGCGAAGGGACTGATACCCAAGTATTGGAGGAAACAACAGGCACCGAAAATAAAGGATTGGGTAGAAAGAGTGGAGAAGATATATAGAGTGGCGGAAGATAAATGGAGGAAGATAAAATGGAGGTCTTCTGTACAAGATGGGAAAAGTGGGTGCAATTTAAAAAGTCAGAGTTATACCTAGAATATGTGAAATAGGGAAAAGAAGATAAAGGGGATAAATATTGTATAATATCAGTATTATTCAAGGAATAGGATTTTTAGAATGAAGTTAAAAGGGCATAATCAAAGGGGGGTGGGGTGGGGGGAATGGGAAAGGGGTAAAAGGTCACCAAGATTATGTGTGGGGAATGTTTGACAGATATGTGTAATATATTCTGTCTGTTTTATTAGCTTTAGTATATTTAAAATGGTGATTTGAAAAACAATAATAAAATATTTAAATAAAAAAAAAAGTAGGAAATTACACCATAAAAATCAAATATTGTACAGATTTTTTAATGAATCACTTTCATTTTCAAAGTTGGGGGTCTCATCACTAAGTTGTCTCACACTTGATCACTTTAATTTTTCCCTCTTTAGTGTTGTATCGGTATGATTATGAATAACTTCTTTATTTTGTAAGACGTCCCTATGAGATGGATAAACATTATTCTCGGGAAAATTAAATCCAATTATTATGAAAACTTAAAAAAAAATATTTGTTTTATGTTATATGAACTTCTATGTAAAACTAACAAAATTGGGGGGAAAAAATAGAAAAAATTGCAGACTGCAAAGGTCCCCAATAATTATCTGGTAATTTTTGATCATTTTAGATATTTGAAATATTTGTATTAAATTTAATTGTTACTATTCACCCCAAAAAATACCAAAAGGCACCTTAGGCTACTGACAGGCAGTTTTTTTTGTCAACTGTAGCGAGCAGGGCTTTTTTTCTGCGGGAACGCAGGGGAACGCAGTTCTAGCACCTCCAGCACTGAATGTATGTAATGGCGAGGGGTGCCAAGGGGTGCTGGAGGGTCTATTAATGCTGGCTGCTGGGGGATCTATTGCCACTTGAGGGGATCTATGTTTGCATGGTGGTCTGTTGTTACTGGGGAGGTCTATTGTTGATCTATTGCTGCTGGGAGGTCAGTTGTTGCCAGAAGGGATCTACTGTTGAAGGAGGGGTCTATTGTTGCTTGTTGATGGGAGATCCGGGTGTATTGTTGCTGGGGTGGTATTTTGTTGTGGGGGTCCATTGTTGCTGGGGGGGGCTATTGTTGCTGACTGCAGGGGATCTATTTGACTGCTTTTCTTGTTATCCTTAACACATTACATACAAAATGATGCCTGGTTTTGTATTCTCTAAAAAGAGATGGGTAAGGGGTGGAACTAAGAGATGGAGCTCAGAGGTGGGTAGGGGGTGGAACCAAGGGATGGAGCTTGGAGGTGGGTAGGGGGTGGAACCAAGGGATGGAGCTCGGAGGTGGGTAGGGGGTGGAACCAAGGGACAGAATTCGGAGGTGGGTAGGGGGTGGAACCAAGGGATGGAGCTCGGAGGTGGGTAGAGGGTGGAACCAAGGGATGTAGCTCGGAGGTGGGTAGGGGGTGGAACCAAGGGATGGAGCTCAGAGGTGGGTAGAGGGCGGAACCAAGGGATGGAGCTTGGGGGTGGGTAGGGGGATGGAAATAAGGGGTGACTCAGAAGGGGGGAGTTCCTGCACCTATTCTCTGAGAAAAAAAGCCCTGGTGGTAAGATCCAATGCCAGATATGGAAAGGTGTTGAGTGTTAGGTATTAGGTTGGGAGTACAGTTAGTGTTAGGGTGAGGGGTTGAAGGGTATCTAAAGCCAATTTTGGTTTTCTATTTTGGATAGCGTAGGAAAGGATTAGAACCCCTGTCAAGCCTTCAGTCCTGCTTGTGTACCTCCTGGACAGATTTGTCTTCTCTGTTTGGCAGAAGACCATTGACACTAGAAGTTAAAGTGAGGTCAAATCCATAATTTTGAGTTGTCACCAGAACAAGAGGGAAAATCTTTGAAAGAGTACACTTCTTCGGGTGAAAACGGTTTAAGAGAGGATTTGCTTTTCTTTAACCAGTTCCAGACCACGCTATAGCCAAAAGATGGGTACAGCGTAGTCTGCTAGTTCTGGTTGGGCGTCTATGGATGTTTTCCCAGAACCACACCCCCCGTGCGCCCCCTGGGGCATGCACTGCGCATGATCTGTGATCTCTGTGTGCTTCGGGCATAGCTGATCACATGACTAAGGAATGGGCCAATCACAGCCGCTTTTACCATGTGACCAGCTGTGCCCAATCACAGCTGATCACAGGATAAATAGGAAATGCCGGTTATCGGCAGTCCTCTCCTCACGCTGACAGCACGTGAGGAGAGGAGAGCCGGTAAGCGGCATTCCTCAGAGGGGACATCTACACTGATCACCAGGGCACTGATCATCAGTGTCCTGGGGATTAGTGTAGTCCCATCAGTGCGGCCAATAGTGCCCATCTGTGCTGGCAATCAGTGGCCATCAGTTGAATCAGTGACCATCAGTGACCATCAGTGCCGCCTATCAGTGCCCATCTGTGCCACCTAACAGTGCCCATCAGTGCCACCTATCAGTGCCACCTAATAATGCCCATCAGTCCCGTCTATCAGTGCAGCCTCATCAGTGCCCATCAGTGCAGCCTCATCAGTGCCCATCAGTGCAGCCTATCAGTGCCCATCAGTGCAGCCTATCAGTGCCCATCAGCAGCTCCTCATCAGTGCCCATCAGTGCAGCCCATCAGTGACTCCTCATCAGTGCCCCTCAGTGCAGCCTATTAGTGCCCATCAGGGACTCCTCATCAGTGCCCATCAGTGCAGCCTATTAGTGCCCATCAGTGACTCCTCATCAGTGCCCATCAGTGCAGTCTATCAGTGCCCATCAATGAAAGAGAAAAATTACTTATTTACAAAACTTTATAACAGAAACAAAGAAAAACTTTTTTTTTCAAACTTTTTGGTCTTTTTTCGTTTGTTTAGCAAAAAATAAAAACCCCACTGGTGATCAAATACCACCAAAAGAAAGCTTTATCTGTTTAAAAAAAATTATAAAAATTTAGTTTGGGTACAGTGTTGCATGACCGCACAATTGTCTTTCAAATTATGAGAGCTCTGAAAGCTGAAAATTGGTCCGGGTAGGAAGGGGGTAAAAGTGCCCAGTAGGTGAAGGGTTCAAGTGATTCCTTCTCACATGGGTCTCCTAGAAAAGGAGTGAAGAAAAATCTCCCCAATGGGACAGCAACAGTGAAGAAATGACAGAGTTAACCATTCTCTGCCCAATAAAAAAAAAAAAAAAGAGTTTTGTCTGTAGATAGACCTTAAATTTAGAGTGACACAAAATTCTGGTCTATAAAAATCTATTCTATTCAAGTCTGTATTCTCAAAGCGATACTAAGTCTCCATTCACACTGGGGGGGGGGCGTTTTAATCATCCTGGTAACGTTAGCTGTGTAAAGTCACGTTTGCGTTTTTTTAGTTAAAAAATATTTTTTTTTGGTAAAAAAAAAAAAGTCCAAAAACGCTGGTTTGCTGCGTTTTGCCGCATTTTTCAGCATTAGAGTGTTTTTTCCAGCTAAAAAACTCCTCTAGAAACCCACTAGTCCTGTTTTTTTTTTTCCAGCCAAAAAAAAATCCCTGCCAATAAAATGTTGATTCCAGTCTATGAGTGCATGGACACCTAGGAGAACATGCTGGGGGGGTTTACTGGCTGTAGAAAAAATATATTTGGGGCGAATTTTAGCTCATCATTAGTCACAGAACTCCATCATGACCAGTAATAACCTGATACTTTTTGTTCCATCTGATAACATCTGACCAGGGGCGGACTGACCATTTTGGCACTCGGGCACTGCCCGAGGGCCCGGGGTCAGTAGGGGGCCCAATGAGATGCCCTCGGTACCTTTCATAGGCATTTTTGGGTGTGGTTTGAATGTAAGTGAGGACACAGGGGCCACATGATCCCCTATTGCCCGAGGGGCCCCATGAGTTGTCAGTCCGCCCCTGCATCTGACTGAACTATAATCACATGGATGTAGTAACTCTTGATGTCTTTACAGGAGAACAAGATGTCCAATGTCAGTGGTGAGCTGGAATCAAGCATCTTCTTCTACAGCCATGTGCATTTGTTCACAGTCCTGGTTCCATTGCTTACGATCCTTGTAGGTGTCCCTGGCAACGCCCTGGCGCTTTGGATTACTGGAGTGAAGATGAAGTGGACCATGACTACCATTTGGTTTTGGAACCTTGCTGTGGCCGATATTATCTGCTGCTTGTGTCTCCCACTCACTGTAGCCCAGTACTTCTATGCAGACTGGCTGTACGGTCCCATGCTCTGCAAGATATTAAACTTCAGCCTTCTTGTTAACATGTTCACCAGCGTCTTCACCTTGGTGGCTATCAGTGTTGACCGTTGCATCCTGGTTGTGAAACCCATTTGGGCCCGAAATCACCGAGGAGTACGAATAGCATGGATGATATGTTTGGCTATTTGGACGTTATCTCTTGTGATGTGTCTACCTAATGCCCTGTACCAAACATTCACCACTTCTAGTAACAGGACTTGGTGCTATTCTGAATGGCATATGATAGAGCTCACCAGTTACATCCATATGGTTTTTGGTTTTCTGCTTCCATTCTTAATCATTTCTACCTGTTACATTTCTGTGGCTTTTAAATTACGAGATAGAAGATTTTCGGAAGTTGGTAATAAAATCATCAAGGTGTCTTTAGGTATCATAGTGGCATTTTTCATCACCTGGGCCCCCTACCACATCATGGGTATAATCCTGCTCTTCATTCAAAATAAAGAAGTGGAGATCCTTGACCTTCTCTCTCAGTCTCTGGCCCAGTTCAATAGTTGCATCAACCCAATACTCTACGTCTTCATGGGGAAAGATATGAAGAATAAGTTGAGACAGTCTATTGGAGAGCTCATACAAGATACGCTTAGTGAAAGCTTATCAAAAACATCACCTCATAGGAATCAGGACATGATGGCAGACGTGCCTCTACAGTGAAGATGGTGTAAAATGCCAATCTGTGCCAAAGGACAATTGCCAATACAATTAAAGGAAGACTTCTGCTTGAATGTTCATATGGATTGTCGACTTTTTTGTTGTATTAGATATTATGATCAGCCAACTGCAGGAAATGTTATCAGTGCTAGGGGGGGCCATACGTGGGCAAATGTCTTGTGCAAGTCACATGCCATGCCATTGGGGCCAGCTGCTGTTTGTCTGATTTGGCCAATGGGTGTTAGCAGCACATGCATTGGATCTAGGCTGTCCAACATGCCTGCTATATCACCATGCTCTATCATGCTTTTGAAAGCCCTGGCCTATAGGGATAGCTTTCTCCAATGTCTGGCCTTTCCTTCGCCCTACCAAGATAGAAAAGTCTCACCTCCATTGCTCAAGATGCTAGAAAAGAGAGCATATTCCTTTGCTGCTGCACCCACCTACATTCTACAAATTAGGTTCGGCCAACTCAAACAACTCCAATCCAATGGGGAGTGATTACAGGCATGCAGGCACATCCTGAATTTAATAGATCTTCCTGGTTGTGCCCTCTAGGGGAAGAATTGTTTGGCCAAGTTGGGTTTAACAGATGTTCGTGGTTGTTCCCTATAGGGGAAGAATTGTTTGGCCAAGTTGGGTTTAATAGATGTTCATGGTTGTTCCCTATAGGGGAAGAATTGTTTGGTCAAGTTGGGTTTTCCTGGTTGCTGTTTCTTCCAAAGGTCTTAAAAATGTTTCCACAAACATACATGTACAAAAAAAGAAACGGTTTGAAAGTATACCTAAAGCCAAGACTTTTTAACTTAGTTTTGGATAGAATGAGGAAAGGTTAGAACCTCTGTCAGATTTTAGTTGCTGTCTCTGTCCCCTGGGGAGATTTGCTGCTATTATTGGTGAAAGGGCGATAATAGTGATAGGACAACCAACGTTTTTAAGTGTGATAGGACGTGAGGGAAAATCTTATACTGGGGAAACCTGTTCTGGTGACAACTGTCAAGTGGATATCTTCTAACATTTGAGAGATCTCTTATATCTTGCGTGTGTCTCTGAGAGAGGAAATGAATCAAATTCTCCCCAACTTGAAACAGAGAGGCTGTCTGATTTGGTCAATGGGTGTTAGCAGCCCATGCATTGGGTCTAGGCTGTCCAACATGCCTGCTATATCACCATGCTCAATCATGCTTTTGAAAGCCCTGGCCTACATGGATAGCTTTCTCTAATGTCTGGCCTTTCCCTCACCCTACCAAGATAGAAAAGCCTCACCTCCATTGCTCAAGATGCTAGAAAAGAAGTAAATTCCTTTGCTGCTGCACCCACCTACATTCTACAGTCCAATGGGAAGTGATTACAGGTATGCAGGTACTTCCTGAATTTAACAGATCTTCCATGGTTGTGCCCTCTAGGGGAAGAATTGTTTGGTCAAGTTGGGTTTAACAGATCTTCGTGGTTGTACCCTCTAGGGAAGAATTGTTTGGTCAAGTTGGGTTTAACAGATCTTCGTGGTTGTGCCCTCTAGGGGAAGAATTGTTTGGTCAAGTTGGGTTTAACAGATCTTCGTGGTTGTGCCCTCCAAGGGAGAATTGTTTGGTCAAGTTGGGTTTAACAGATCTTCGTGGTTGTGCCCTCTAGGGGAAGAATTGTTTGGTCAAGTTGGGTTTATCAGATCTTTGTGGTTGTGCCCTCTAGGGGAAGAATTGTTTGGTCAAGTTGGGTTTATCAGATCTTTGTGTTGTGCCCTCTAGGGGAAGAATTGTTTGGTCAAGTTGGGTTTATCAGATCTTTGGGTTGTGCCCTCTAGGGGAAGAATTGTTTGGTCAAGTTGGGTTTAACAGATCTTTGTGGTTGTGCCCTCTAGGGGAAGAATTGTGTTGGTCAAGTTGGGTTTACAGATCTTCGTGGTTGTGCCCTCTAGGGGAAGAATTGTTTGGTCAAGTTGGGTTTATCAGATCTTCGTGGTTGTGCCCTCTAGGGGAAGAATTGTTTGGTCAAGTTGGGTTTATCAGATCTTTGTGGTTGTGCCCTCTAGGGGAAGAATTGTTTGGGCAAGTTGGGTTTAACAGCTCTTCCATGGTTGTGCCCTCTAGGGGAAGAATTGTTTGGTCAAGTTGGGTTTAACAGATCTTCGTGGTTGTGCCTCTAGGGGAAGAATTGTTTGGTCAAGTTGGGTTTAACAGATCTTCGTGGTTGTGCCCTCTAGGGGAAGAATTGTTTAGTCAAGTTGGGTTTAACAGATCTTCGTGGTTGTGCCCTCTAGGGGAAGAATTGTTTGGTCAAGTTGGGTTTAACAGATCTTCGTGGTTGTGCCCTCTAGGGGAAGAATTGTTTGGTCAAGTTGGGTTTAACAGATCTTCGTGGTTGTGCCCTCGAGGGGAAGAATTGTTTAGTCAAGTTGGGTTTAACAGATCTTCATGGTTGTGCCCTCTAGGGGAAGAATTGTTTGGTCAAGTTGGGTTTTCCTGGTTGCCGTTTCTTCCAAAGGTCTTAAAAATGTTTCCACAAACATACATGTACAAAAAAAGTGAAGTGGGAAGTGATGGGAAGAGATCTCCTATGTCTTGCTATGTCTCTGAGAGAGAAAATGAATCAAATTCTCCACGACTTGAAACAGAGAGGCTGTCTGATTTGGCCAATCGGTGTTAGCAGCCCATGCATTGGGTCTAGGCTGTCCAACATGCCTGCTATATCACCATGCTCAATCAAGCAGAAAACACGACAGGTATCTTAACCATTTCCCTACTCTATCCAAAACGCAAAAAAAAAATTGTCTTTACATACATGTTAAGGATTTTATCACTGAATTGTCCTAAACTAAAGAACGAAAAAGTAATACATTGAAGCTTACCCCTGTTTTGATGCGGTGATTGCACTAGTTTTTTGGGGGAATGTCCTTTTGTCCTCAAAGGCATGGGAGGTACTGGATTGGTGTAGGCCCTTTCTGTGGTTGGTCACAGCGTACTATCCAGACGTGTCTACAATGGGTATAGACAAAGTCCAAACATATTTCAGAGCAAAATTCCCCACTAGTAATAAAGACAAAATGGCCAAAATGGAATCAAAACGATTGCCGGCTGTAGAGGCACTCCCTATTGGACCTTAACTCCCTGTCAGTATGAAGGTCTCAAACTATCGTACCTAAGGGGTCTTCTGTATGTCATGTCCCCATGTACCTTCACCTTATAGTTTTTCTTTCATTGGTGCTTTTATATCAGTGTAATGTATAGGTGAATCAAAAGAAATTTCTCTGCGCTCAGGAAAACAAATCTGAAATCAATGATTGGGCTCCATACACACTGGGGGGGGTTTACTAATGCTTGTAGCGTTAGCTGTGTAAAGGCGCGTTAAAAACCGGAGTTTTTCAGCATCTTTGTATTAGCGTTTAGCTGCTTTTTTTGCGTTTTTGTTTCCACCCAGATTTTTTTTTTAGTCAAAAAAAGTCTCTGGTTTGCCGCATTTTACGGCGTTAGAGCATTGCTACAGCTAAAAAACTCCTCTAGAATCCCCCTAGTTGTTTTTTTTTTCCAGCGAAAAAACGTCCCAACCAAAAAAGATTGATTCCAGTCTATGTGTGTATGGACACATAGGATAACATGCTGGGGGGTTTACTGGCTGTAGAAAAAAATGTCAAAAGCCAAAAACAGCCGCTGTAAAAGCATTCCGTGTGCATGAGGACTAATACTTACCTGCTCTGTATTGGTTTTGCACAGAGCAGCCCGGATCCTCCTCTTCTCGGGTCCCCTGCCGGCGCTGCTGGCTCCTCCTTTCTGCCAGGTGCCCCCATAGCAAAGCCCTCACGCACGCGGGACGTTTTGATAACGCCGGTAATGTTAGCTGTGTAAAGTCACATTAAAAATGTGAGTATTTCAGCTATTTTTAGCGTTTCGCCACGTTTAGCGGCATTTTGCAGCGTTCACGTTTTTTAGCGATTTTTTAACAAAAACATTTTTTACACTCCTAATCCTCTTGTGTTGAGCTGTATTGTTGCTGTATTGTCTCCCTGTATAATGTACAGCGCTGAGCAAACTGTTGGCGCCATAAATCCTGTATAATAATAATATACAGTGGGGCAAAAAAGTATTTAGTCCCCACCAATTGTACAAGTTCTCCCACTTACAAAGATGAGAGAGGCCTGTAATTGGCATCATAGGGAGACCTCAACTATGAGAGACAAAATGAGAAAACAAATCCAGACAATCACATTGGCTGATTTGGAAAGAATTTATTTGCAAATTATGGTGGAAAATAAGTATTTGGTCAATATGAAAAGTTCATGTCAATACTTTGTTATATATCCTTTGTTGGCAATGACAGAGGTCAGACGTTTCCTGGAAGTCTTCACAAGGTTGGCACACACTGTTGCTGGTATGTTGGCCCATCCTCCATGCAGATCTCCTCTAGAGCAGTGATGTTTTGGTGCTGTCGCTGGGCAACACGGACTTTCAACTCCCTCCAAGGGTTTTCTATGGGGTTGAGATCTGGAGACTGGCTAGGCCACTCCAGGACCTTGAAATGCTTCTTACGAAGCCACTCCTTCGTTGCCCGGGTTGTATGTTTGGGATCATTGTCATGTTGGAAGACCCAGCCACGTTTCATCTTCAATGCCCTTGCTGATGGAAGGAGGTTTGCACTCCAAATCTCACAATACATGGCCCCATTCATTCTGTCCTGTACATGGATCAGTCGTCCTGGTTCCTTTGCGGAGAAACAGCCCCAAAGCATGATGTTGCCACCCCCCCATGCTTCACAGTAGGTACGGTGTTCTTTGGATGCAACTCAGCATTCTCTCTCCTCCAAACACGACGAGTTGTGTTTCTACCAAACAGTTCTATTTTGGTTTCATCTGACCATATGACATTCTCCCAATCCTCTTCTGGATCATCCAAATGCTCTCTAGCAAACTTCAGACGGGCCCGGACATGTACTGGGTTAAGCAGGGGGACACGTCTGGCACTGCAGGATCTGAGTCCCTGGCGGCGTAGTGT